AAAAAATAATAAATAAATATATATATATATATATATATATATATAAACTAATTCTAAAATGTATTAAAAACACAAAATGATAAACAAATCTCAGTTATTCTAAAATAACACTGGAAAACGTTTAGCTGGTATTTGTAATGTAATTTTCCATTATTGCCCCCTTCAAAAACTAGTCTTGGAGTCATACACAACTGCATAATATTTCTAAGACACAGAAAACATTGTCACAAAATCAAGCGACATATCAAATTACCAAAAAATCACTCCATTATTAGTTTACTAGCTACTAGCGTTATATTAACAAGCTTCTTGCTCGTTAAAATGTACTAAATATTTTTTAAGCCTAATAGCATATATTATTTTAAAGAATGTTTTATAGTCTAATCAAAATATAACAATTTTCTCTACAACTGAAACAACTTTTCTTCTCTGCTGATGTAATGAAGGCCGTATGGGCGGGGACAAATAATAGTAGCCAATTATATCAATGCTTGCTTTTTGCTTTCCAATCAAATCCTGATGGATAAAATTAAGTCCCACCCTGCAATATTTTTCATCGTTTATTCTGTTTCACATGGAAATACCTTATATGGTAAGTAACGTGTCGCGAGTCCCGTTTTTTTTTATGTTGTCGTTACGAAATCTATTAGTTTGTGATTGTTTTTCTTTCCCTTCAAAGTTTCTCTTTTTTTACTCACCAGATTACAGCTTTTGTTAATTCATAAAATCTTGATTTTAATCTTTGAGCAGTGGCTAAAAAAAAAATATACATTTCGATAAATTTAAATAATAGTAGCCAATTATATCAATGCTTGCTTTTTGCTTTCCAATCAAATCCTGATGGATAAAATTAAGTCCCACCCTGCAATATTTTTCATCGTTTATTCTGTTTCACATGGAAATACCTTATATGGTAAGTAACGTGTCGCGAGTCCCGTTTTTTTTTATGTTGTCGTTACGAAATCTATTAGTTTGTGATTGTTTTTCTTTCCCTTCAAAGTTTCTCTTTTTTTACTCACCAGATTACAGCTTTTGTTAATTCATAAAATCTTGATTTTAATCTTTGAGCAGTGGCTAAAAAAAATATACATTTCGATAAATTCGCATTGTATGTCAATCAGAATCAAAATCAGAACTACTACGTTTCCAGCGTTATTAACGTTCACAGCAGAGCGTTTACTAATCTCTCTCTCTTTCTTACCACTGCATTGCTGATATTCCTCACTCTTGTCTTTCTGTCTTTCTTCCTCTCTGCATGTTTCCACTGGCTGCCTCTGTGTGTCTCTACCCTGTCTGGCGCCCTCTGCTGTCTGGCTTGTGTAAAAGCAGCCTCCAGAAGACAAAGGCTGGGTATATTCTCCTCTGCACTTCAGCTCAGGGCCTAAAACCCTGGCAGAGGATGAAGAGGAGAGTGAATCAGTAAGTGTCGCGGTCGTCTTGGGTTCGTGATTCTTGATGTTGACTGTCCTTTGTCTGTTATTCCTTGCATATTAATTGCATAAAATTCCATTTTAATGTGTCCCAACAGTAATCAGACCTCAGGAAAGAGGGGCAGCTACAAGGTTTGAACACTTCAGATGTCCTCATAACGTCCGGAAGCTCTATCGGTCGGATTTTTTCGCAATTTAAGCATCATTTTCATCGTCCTTTCACCCATTCCATAAACATCAAGCAAGTAGTAATACCAATGTCCAGACATATTTATGAGTAATAATGAAGATATTTGTTTGATTCTTTTTTTGATTTTGTTTTTCATTCATTGTCTAATTTACATACCGTGAACATGTGTTTTGATTTGAGATCTGGGATTCAAGACTGGTCCAAGAGTGGGCTGTGCTTTATTAGTTGTTGTTTTTTTTAGGGGACTTTGATGCATTTAAGTTGTTAATACGCCTTGGTTATCAGGTAGCATTGTTCCGTAACTGTTGAAATATATATATATATACAATATATATCTATAAAAATATTAAGCCAGCAATAGTGTTCAATGTTTCAGATTTATGAATCTGCAACAGGTGGCTTTGATGTGTTAAATTTGGCAATAACCAAAGTCCCATAATTTTAATTTTTTTATTTTAATGTAAAGATTAGGACTGATAATGGATGCTGTCGTGATTTTAAAATGGGTCATACAACCCATTGTATGTAGAGAGCGACGGTTTACACATCCCATGATGTTTATGTTCTTGTTTTGTCACCTTTTTATATATTCTGCTATCAATTAAGTTTTAATTTAAATTTGTTCCACAGATTTTCCACAGATCCTCAGATTTTCCCACCAAAATCAGTACGAAGTCATCAGGGCCTGGTTATTAAGAGACATGTTAAACTGAAAGATGGGACCAAACGTATTGTGTGGGAGGCCAAATCTTTAAAACAACTTAATCACAATCAGAAATATTTGTTAAAAAAAACGTTTAATTGTAAATCCAAATGTATAGAATTTGTGTGTGCGCCTATGCATTGAGTGCGTTTGTGGTTTTGAGTAAGCGAGTCTCATTTTATGATGGAAGTGTGCGACACTGATTCTTATAATGTGCAGTGGCCAGTTGCTATTGATATTGCTGTTGTATCTAAAATAAAGGGACTACTGCAGCAATACATTTGTAAAGTGTAGCACATGCATATTTTGGTTGCCTTAATTCTTTTTTGCCAACCTAATTCCTATTGTAGTTATAAAATATTCACTGATTCAGTCTTTCTTTTCTGGTTCACCAATGATAGTGAGAATGTGTATATAGATCTTTAAATACATATAAAGTATATTTTAAATGTTATTTGAAGTTTTCTTTTGTATTTTATTTTGCACAAGTGGCTCGCAAAAGGTGTCCTAGGTCCACACGAACCCACCCATTCTTCCAGCATCGAGGACATTTCCTTGCGTTTGAGTCTAGGGTGTTTCTTTGTTTACAATTTAGTTTGGATTGTAAAGTCTCAGGGGTGCCCAAACTCGGTCCTGGAGGGCAGGTGTCCTGCAGAGTTTAGCTCCAGCATGCCTCAACACACCTGCTTGGAAGTTTCTAGTAAGAGCTTGATTAGCTGGTTCAGATGTGTTTGATTAGGGTTGGAGCTAAACTCTGCAGGACACCGGCCCTCCAGGACCGAGTGTGGGCACCCCTGCTCTATACAGTCAAAGACACAACTGTATCAATCGCTTACTCTTCCAACAGTTGAGCTGTGTGTGTGTGGTCAAAAAGCTGTGTGCCCCCCTAAATAGCAAAAGAGCATGATGAAATGTGAGTTTATTTACATTGATGTACAGCATAGACATTTATCTCTACGAAAAGACCACAACCCATGTGTGTACATTTGTCCAGACACTTAAAATAAATACAACTCTTGGAAGATTCTTGTGGATTTTTTTTTTTAATAATTTGTCCTTGTACCATTCAGATTTTTCCAACAAAATGTAATACCAGCAAAAAAAACAACAGTACACCGTTCAAACTAGGCTGCTTATGTTGAAGTGTTTGGGATGTGGCTTTTAATGATGAGACCTTTTTTGTAATCAGGCTCTCAAAAAGTATATAACAATTTGGATATAGATTTATTGGCCAACATATCGGTTATCGGCTTTCAAAAATAAAGAATAATCGGTTATCGGTATCGGCCAAAATGTTCATATCGGTGCATCCCTAAAATGTACATTCCACAACTGTCAACACTTTACATGAATGTTTATGCCCTGAAATGAGAGTTAAGCACTGTTAACATACATATATGAGATATAGTTTTATACTAGCAGCACCAAATTGCAGAGTGTCAAACATGACTGAAAAGGACCACACAACACCACTGCTCAAGTTCTCAATGTTGAGATTTATTAGCAAACCTTTAACAAAGGCAATTTCTTTGAAAGCATCACAATAAAAATTTGGGAGAAAAAAAGCATTTGGTCTCTAAAAGTCAAAAGCATAACTAAAAGTGTACCATTCGGCACAATACAAATATGTAATGAACAAATAATTTGGAAACCATAGAGAGGGGTGGAAGGAATCAGAAGGCAAAAAGGACGATTACGCATTTCTGTCAATCCTGACGTCAATCTCTCGTCCACTGAGCCGGTAGCCGTTCATGGTACGACAGGCTCGCTCGGCAGTCTCAGGACTGTCAAAGCGCACCACACCACAGCCCTTGGACTTGCCGTTCTCCATCTTAATGTCTGCATACTGCACGATGCCTGTTAGAAAACACAAGCCATATCGATTAATTGAAACGGAGCAAGAAATGCTAAAAGAAAAAGTCTGATGGAAAAAGTCTTTACCACATGAATTGAACGTGTCCTTCAACATCTTCCAGGTGAAGTCAAAGGGCAGCTGCAAAAATAGACAATTACATTATGAAGAGGAATTTAAAAAATATATTTAAAAAAAAACTGAAATAAATTTAAGATCAAATGCTTACATTTCTGACAAAAATTTGGCATCCCTTCCTGGCATTAGCTCCACCACCCCCTGGCCCTCCTTGTCCAGACCCACTGAAAGGAGTCCCAAAGTTGCCACGATCCATATCAGCCGGTCTGTCAAACTGCCCACCGACGCCACCAGAGCCCATCCGGTCCATGCTGGAACCCATGCGGTCGAGACCTGAGGAGGGGAAGCGGTCCATGCCACCGGAGCCCATGCGGTCAAAGTTTGAACCCATTCGGTCAAGACCCGAGTTCATCCTGTCCATGCCTATAGGTGAAGCAAAGTCCATCCCGCCAGTCATGCGATCCATGCCGGACGCACCCAAGCGGTCGAACCCACCAGGGCCCATGCGGTCCACGCTGGAGCTCATGCGGTCGAGGCCTGATCCCAGCCGATCCATACTGGGCCCCAGCCGGTCAAGCCCTGAACCCATTCGGTCAAAACCAGATCCCAACCGGTCCAGATCAGACATGCGGTCCATGCGATCCATTCCCATCCGGTCTAGTCCTCCCATGCGGTCCATGCCACCGCCAAGCCGGTCCATGCCAGAATTCATGCGATCAATTCCCACAGAGTTCCCTGGTAATCACATTTTAAACAAATAATTTAAAAGTTAACATTATGTAACTATATAAGAAATGTATAGGAGCAAATGTTAAACATTACCAACCCATTCCTCGGTCAAAAGTATCTCCGAAGTTGCTACGGGACATACCCATATCATTACGGGCACTGAAATCTCTATCAAAGCCACCGCCAATTCCACGATCCATATCTGCAATTAATTAAAAAAATATATATATATATTTTTTTTAAAGTCTTAATCTCAGCTGCTAGCAAAATGGAAAAAAATAAACTAGTTAATGCATTTACCATTCATTCTTCCCATTCCAGAGGGTCCGAAACGCTCCATGTTGTTCATACCACCTCCAAAATTATCCATCCCTGAAGATCAGTAACATTTACATTCAATTCATAGTGAATTAACAAGGAAATTTCATAATTTATAGTAGATAAAATAAGCAGCAAATTTATAAATTATCTTTGTTTTATTTTTCCAAGGGGGGGGGGTGAACATTCGATAGATAAAGCAGTTTATGAAAAGAAGAAGAAAAAAAAGGGCACCTTTAAGAATTTATAGTAGACAAAAGTAGAATTTTCTAAAAATTAAATTAAAAAAAATATATATAACCTAACAGATAAATTAACCCCTTAACTGTCACTCACATTTTTGAACATAGACGTGAAAGTGCACAATCCAAACTTAAATTTTTATAATTCATGTACGAAAATATTTTGTAACTTTTTTGACAAAAGGTCAGAAACCTTGACGATAACTCGGTGGATAAAAAGAAATATGCAGACTTAAAGATAATTCAAAGTAGATGAGCAAGGAAAAAAAACATTGCCAAATTCATTGTAGATAAAACATACGACTTGAAATTTAAGATAATTCATAGAGGATAAAATATGCAACTTTTTTTTTTTTTTACGAAATGAAATCTTGAAGATAACTCAATGGATAAAAATATGCTACCTTAAAAGATCATTCAAAGTAGAAGAAATAAGCTGAATTTTTTTTTTATTGTAGATAAATACACAACGAATTGAAATTGAAGACAATTCATAGTGGATAAAGCAAGCAGCATTTATAAAAATAAATAAATAAATACAATAATTAATTGGAGAACAATGCAGTTTGGATACAGCCCGTCAAAATAGACTGAGCATTCTTGAACTATGGCATGCAAATCAAACTAGTAACCCCCTAGAAGAATGGCTGATGAGATGAAACATACCTCCCATTCTACCCATGCCACCAAATCCCATTCCATCCATTCCTATGGAGAAAATTATTTCATGGATAGGGGAGGGGAGTGACGGTCAGTGAGTGCATACAAGAGGAAACATTCCAAAAAGATCAACATGCGACATGCTGTTACCTCCTGGTCCCATGTTGCCCATCCCACCCCGGTTGAGCTGGGTAGCGTCGATGGGTTGACCGCCGGGTCCCAGACCGAGACCAACACCGCTCAGACCACCTGCATGAGACGGTGGGAACTGGTTTAGAGAAGAAACTAGCCAACTGCAAGATGTTCTAGGGTTGATGATCCATACAGCAAGCGTGAATATGAAATCATCACTTACGAGGAAGTGCTGGAGGACGGTCTGGGGGAGCAAAGTCACCTTTGGGAAGAGATTTCTCATCCTGAAAAGATGTGAAGGGGTGGATTTTGAGGAATTTAAAATCATATTGCCAATGTACCGTTAAACCATAGAAGCTTGTTTCCACCAAAGTATAAAAATTAAGAGGTTAGTGACTTTCTTTATTATTGACTTAAGAATTTTTTCGCAGTTGAGGAAAAAAAGAAAAAGAAAAAAAAAAGATTTGCAAGAAACGTAAAATTGCAAGTTTATCTGAAGATATATTCTGAGAAGTCTGAATTAAGATGCAACTGCAAGAAAACAAAACTGCAAGATGTAAACTTGTAAAATGCAAAAAGTCACAAATGCTCTTATTTTTTTTTATTCTGCAGCAGAAACAAGCTTCCATGCTAAACCCATGTAATTACTTACCAGTTTGACATGCATGACCCTGTTGAAGAGAAGCTGTCCGTTGAACATGGCTAACATCCATTAAGGAAAAACTTAAAAGCATTGCACATTTTAAACAGTATTAACTTCATTACAAACAACTTCACATATCAAAAGCTACTGTGAAGGATACAGACTGCTTGAACGGCCTCAATGGGCATCTCAAATGTGACCGTTCCCATTCCCCTGCTTTTCCCGTCTTTATCCTCCAGGATATCTGCACGCACAACAGCTCCAGCCATTCCAAACACCTCCTTGAGCTTCTTCCATCCAACCTTGTAGTCCAGCTGTGCAGAGACACGGCATATGAAAAGTCAGTGGTCAAGTTTGAAAATATGGGACATATGGTTACAGAGTGGTTTCAAAGTCTTACATTGGCCACAAAAATGGTGCTTCCGATTTTTCCAGCCTGGAGTCCGTGGATGATCTCGTTGGGAATGTTGGGGTTGTTCATGAGACTGGGAGGGATATTGACCATTGAAGGACCGCCAGGTCCCGGGCCCATTCCTCCACCCATGCCCATTCCTCCTCCCATTCCTCCACCCATGCCTGGGGGTCCGCCACCACCACCACCCCCACCCCCACCCCCGTGAGCACGATTAGTTTCACGCTGGGCAATCACTCCATCTGGATCCTTGGAGAAGCACAAAGAGGATCGTTTATAACAGGCCACTTTAATACATTCAACATCAAGTATTCACATTTATGATGATTTTGCTGGCAGAATAAAATACCACAATGATTTTAACATGCTTTTGTCAAGACTATTTTTACAATCATTTCAATACTAAAAATTTTACATTAAAACTGTGAAAATTGTTGTCTACAATTCATATTCAAACATTAAAAACAATGTGGAAGAATACAATTTTTTTCCATGGATTTTTAGCTCCAACATTACAAAACTTCAAGTAAAAACAAGTA